TATTTTTTTTATCATTTTCAGCATCCAGTAATCCAAAATTTCTTTCCGGTATATCCTCCATAAGTTATCGCGCATATAGCTAATCTTCAAATTTATTTTGTAATTCCGGCTATTATTTTATTATTTACTATTCCTCCTCTAAATGGACTCGCATAATTCTGGTGACCATCACGGTAGCAACGACAATAACCATCATTATCATACCCACGGATCAATTCTTGCCGATAATCCTCACCTAGCTTCTTCACCTCTTTCGTTTCATCCCGGCGACATGCGTGACCATAAATTGCATTCAATTAATTCCACAGAAGGTTATCCAACTGCATCTTCGTATGTATACGTTATGATATTTTGCCGGTCGATCATCTCAGATGTCTTACATGCATAAAGCTCATCCATTCCAGGACGGTTCTTTTTCACATTACCAGACATATCCTTATTTACTTGGCCTTACTTTTTATAGTTATTCCACATCACATTATCCGCCATCATCCGCCGCCCTGCAATTAGACCGTAACATATCAATAGTACCCATTCAACATTCAAAGCTCGAGCCCGGTCCTTCGGAAAGTTCAAATGAAACTTGGACTCGTGTTTCTGCATCCGAAACCTCTGCCCCGGCAAATTTTCCGTTCGGTTCTTATACAACAAAACCTGCAAGAGCTTACGATGAAAGAGCTTTAGACTCCGCATTTTTCGCCAATCCATCTATGAAAATGCCTTCAAACACTGTCCAACCTTCAATGAGCTATTTTGGTGGTCTTCCTCCGCCGATGGGTTATAATCCACATCAAGTAAATTATGGTAATACGATGCCGCCAACACCCCAAGATTATCCAATGTCAATGACTACTATGCAGAACCAAAATGGAAATGATACGCGAATTATGCCACCCCAATTTCATGGTCAAAATCCAAACAGACCCCCTCCGGTTCCTGCTCAAACCATGATGACTACCTTTAACTCAAAAACTGTATCGTCCACTCCTAAAAGGTACAAGTGTAATATTTGTCAAAAGAGATTTACACGCCCAAGTTCATTGCAAACACATACATACAGTCATACCGGAGAAAAACGTATGTCATTATGTATTATTATTATTATCATTATTTAATTATACCCTTGCAATTCGACTATCTAATCACTAAACCAAATTCAATGTTACTTAATTCTATTCTGTTTTATTATTTTTTATTTAGCCTTTAAGTGTCCTGTTGAAGGTTGCGGACGTCATTTTTCAGTTGTAAGCAACCTCCGCCGTCACCAAAAAATTCATTCAAAATAAAATCAAAAAAAAAAAAACTCGAAATAATGAATAACTTTTTTTTTTTAGAAATAATTAAATATATATATATACAAAGAAAAAAAAACACAATGGTTGCAATTGTTTTATCTTAA